AGTGTGTGTGTGGTGGTTCGTCTACATGTCGGCCTTGTGATAGACTGGTGACCTGTCTAGGGTGGACCCCGCCTCTTGCCCCGTGTCAGCTGGGATTGGCTCCAGCCCCTCTTCAGGATAAGTGGTATAGATAATGGATGGATGTTTCCATCTTTGTGGCAAGTGTCTGGTGAAATCTCTTTCTCTTTTAACAAAGCAGTGCCCCCATTCACAAACCCAGTTCCATAAAGAAATGGTTTTCTCATTTTGGTGTGGAAGAATTTGGTCTCTACAGAGCCCCGATCTTAACCCTCCCAGTTAATCACCTCTGGGAGGAAGCAGACCTTATCACCAGACAAGAACATCTATGTTGGACCATTCTGCTCTCTACATGGCAGGTACTGGATGTTTAATGTTTGACAAGCATCAGTTATGACAAATGTGAAGCAGCTACACCACTTTAAGGAAAGGCAAATGTAAATAGATTTCTGAAGGGACACAAACCTCCACACTTTTCACCTCATCATGTAAAGGCCACAGTGAACGCTGGCATTGTGGAATCCAATCCATCCGATATGGACATCATGTCCAGGGATGCTGGGCTAAGCCAGAGCTCATTCCTGAACATCAGTGTTGGACCTCACTGTTCTTGTGGCTGAATGGGAACACATCTCTGCAGCCAGGCCCTAAAATCTGTTGTGAAGCCTGGACCCAGAAGAGTGGAGGCTGCTACAGCAGCAGATTCACTCCAGTTGTTTTGGAATGAGAGGCTCACAATCACATTCGACTCTCATGTACATGTAAGTGTAGGGCAGTTAGTTCTACCAGACTCTACTCTGAGAAGACGAAGAAAGAGTAAACCAATTAGACTTGACGTCATCTCTTTAAACACCCAGTGGGCATAACTTGCTGTAAGTTATTGTCTCTCACTCTTCCCTCTTCCGTCTCTCTCCATTTCACTATAACACCTTGAAAAACAAATTTCGCTGACAGTATTTTTCTGTCGTCCACCCCTCACCCTCCTCTCCCCACTATTGATGCGCATGGTCCCTGTGCTGGGCTGTGCTTACTGAAGCGTTGTGTTGTGCTGCCTGTCATCAATACAGGTGAGTTACAGAGGTGCCTGGTTCAAAAGCAGTTCACTGCTTCACACTGATGTGAGCTGTGCTCCTACCCGTGCACATTACATGTGTTGAAGTGTGTGTGTTGGGACAGATACATGTGTGGTGATGTGTGTTTTTGCTTTGCTATTTCTTAGTCCTTGTATGAATATACAGTTTGTGTGTATGTGGGTCATCGCACTTTGTGTTTTGCCTTGCATGTTTACTCGGCCATAGCATCCAGGGCTTCGAGCTCTAACCTCGGCCTTCTGCCTGCAGACATAGTCAACACAATATCAGTGGGTCATGTGGGACACCAGCACTGGTTCCCACTAGATTGGCAGGTGGTGATGAATCTGTGTCTGATCAGCTGTATCGCTGCGCTGTACAGAACTCAGTCACTGGAAGGAAAATGTCAGGTAACAGTCATGACTGTGGTAGAAGTCGAATCGCTTGACATTTCAATCGTTATCTTTTTGCATGGAGAATCTTTGTGAGCTGAGCTTCAGACTAAATATGAAAACGCAGTTTCCACCTAAAATTACATCCATATGAGAAATCTCTGGTCATCATTCTAAAAATAGTCCCCACAAAGGCTTGGTCTGTAGGAAAAAGGCCTAATCTCTTCTTCTTTATCCTTTTTAGTGAATGAACAACAAAACTGTAAATGCGGTCAGCAACAGGACAGGCAGTCGGGATACTCTGCCTAGTTTCAGCTGCTTTTGTTTTGTTGTTCCCTCCCGGTCACTTAACACGGTGCCAAACTCAGCAATAGTTTTTATTCACAAGTATAAAATTTACATTTGACTGCAGCTCATCAATACTGGCACCATTATTTTACACACACACACACACGCCGAAGGTGGCGCTGTCCTGGCCACCAGGAGCAACTTAGGGTTCAGTGTTTTGCCCAAGGACACTTTAAGATGCAGACTGGGGAAACTGGGAATCAAACCGCTGACCTTCCAGTTAGGAAACGGCCCGCACATTACTTATACTGGCTTATAATGACTTAAAGTTATTTTTGAAAAATTGGTGACTTCTTTTTGGACAGTGAGGACATTTTTCCTTAAGATTTGGACAGTGAGAAGATCGGGTTTGGAAGCTGAGGAGATTCAAAGTGAAGATGTCTTGTCTTTGTCAGATTTGCCATAGTTTATAAAAAACGTTTTCTCTCTGTCAGCTACCGAGTGTGGACCCTTGATCAGATTTTGCAGTTTTATCCATTTAAAATTGAATCTACAACAAACTGAAGTTGCCTGTTTCTACATGTAGTTCTTGCCCCGTCTATAAGAACATCACCAGGTTCTTTTGTTTTAGAAAGACTGTGTGGTGTGACGTGATCTAGGGTAAAGTTCTGTGGTTTATGTGGCCATCTAGTGGGCTGCTGAATCACTTCCCATGTGGAAACTACTGTTTTGTAAACAGAGGGTGGAAAATGTTCTTCTATATGGGGAAACTTTCAATACATATTGTTTGTTTGTTCAACTGAGCTTCTGTACTGATATTTTGTTGCTTCATGTCTAATAAGAAAAGATTAAAAAACAAAGCAGAATGATTTTCACTTTGTGTCCAAGTAAACTGTTAAAAACCACTCTCTGTTCAAACATGACCATAAGTAACCTCTTTTATAAAAGGTCCTACATGACTCAAAATAAGCAGTGTTAAATGAACACACCTCTATCTGCTTTTAGACCTTTAATGACCTTTTAATAATCTTTCTCTTGGGCCTTTTTGTGGTGAAATGAAACTCATCTGTCTATGAAGTCTTTCTACTTTTACATTTACAAGCCATAAATGTAGTTATTGAGAGCTTGTTAGTGTTATACAAGTGTTCTAATTGCTGTGTTGCTGCTGTCTCAACGTAAAAGCGATGAACTGACGGTGTTTATGCTTGAACAAGTCCCCTGCCACTGTCACCTGTAACTTTACCAACAACAACAGCCATGAAGTGAAGTAGTGAAGATAGCTGGAAATACAGAAATGACAAGAAACCTTTCGACTTCTAAGAATGTGTGTATGTGTGTGTGTGTTTGCATTTAAGACAGGGCGATGCCTGTGTACTGGTGTGTGTTTGCAGTACCCTTGTGTGTTTGTGTATGTACAGAGGAGCTATTGTTTTTGATCAGTGAGCAGAAAGTGCTGCTTTTTATACTTTATTGACTGAGTTCGTGTGGTTTTTCTCTTTTAGTTCTTGCTGCAGGCTTGTGCTGTTTGTAGCTTCTCATATAAGTAGACCAGGGTTTGTGGTTTTGTGGCCCGGATGGGTGGGTGCGTTTTTCTTTTTCCTGAGGTAGGCTACGTACTGAGGTTAGCGACACAGAGCTAAAGATGTAGGAAACAAACTTGATATGAAGCTTGGTGGCTGAAGGAGGAAGGCCATGACACGAGGTAAACAAAACATCCTTGACTTCATACAAAACTGATCAGACTGCTCTTTGATGACTTTGTATGTGCACTGAAGCCTTAACATCTTATAAATGTAGAAATAGTTGTATTTACATGGTTTTTAGAGGAGCACTTGAAGTAAACAGATTTATTTAGGAACAATAGTGCCTGAAAGATGAGAAGCAGCTTTCAGAATAACAGAAGTAAACTGATGGACAAACTGTCAAAAGATAAAAACAGCCGCAGTTTTAATGGTTAATAAATACTCATATTTACATACCATTATTCTGTCTATAATAAAAAATATTTTGGGCTTGTCAGCACATGTAACTGTTGTCACAAATGGCCATCACCTCAGCTGGTGCAGACGTAGTACTTCATTAATACAGGAAGCCAAACTCTCGATCAGGTCATGTAGACCCGTCAGCTGAAGAAGAGGCGGGAGAGGCGTCACTCTCTTCAGCAAGCAAGTACATCCTTGTCAAATGCAGATAAGGGGGGGTATCGCTGCTGAGCCTTCTGGAGATGTCAAGGGCTCCTCAGTGACCTGATGATGTACCTGCCCTCCTTTTCACCATCCTAACCTCACTGTCAGTATCAAGAGTGCTTTATCTGTGACCTTTGTCTGATGCTTTGTGTGGTGATGTTGGGGAAATGTGAAAATAACTTGTTTATGAAACACTCTCACTGCCAACAACAAGGTGAAAAAAAGTATGACACCAGATAATCAAACTCTAATTATAACAACACACCAGGAAAGCTACATATTTTAATATAATTAATTTAAATCACTTTGAACACTTAACCCATGACAGTATAACAGAACAACAACCCTCAGTGATACCTTTGTATAGATCTGTGTGTGTGTGTGTGTTATATATTTATAAGTACTTAGATTTTTTTTTTAATTTTCCTAATGCACATTCCTTTTCATTGTTTTTAGATTCTATTTTTTTTTGTTCTCAGTCTTATTTACTTGTTGCCTATAGAAGAACACTGTACATGCCCATTAACAGCCACTGTACCAGAGTCAAACCCCTCATGTCCTGCCCAGTAAAGCTGATACTGATTAAATAACAACTTTATACCCGAATCATCATCTCAAGACACTTTACTATGAGCTCACCCTGCAACTCCATTGTTCCAAGTTTGATTTCTGAAACTAATAATTGGCTATTAATTTTCTTAGTGACAGACAATGTGGTCCCTTGCTCCTGTCTGGTGTTATAGGAAAAATTCCTTTTGTTAATAACATCATATCACCATGGCATTTAAAAACTGACATGTATGGATGAAAGGCTTGAATCAGTTTAACAGTACATAGAAATACCCAGTTTACTGAAGGAAATATAGCTCGCAATATACATTTTTAGAAAAGAAGTATTTTACTGCTAGTTTTTAAACCATGTTAATATCCAATATTTCAATAACTGAAAAATAAAATGGAAGAACACCTTTAGAAGTTGAAATGTCAGAACTTATAAAATGGAGCCAATATTAAACAAAGGAGTGAGGCCAGTATTCAGTGCATGGTTCAGTTTATTTATTTACAGACACTGAGAGACGAGGAAAGGAGAAGTGACTCTACACATATTGTACCCCTGTTGTTGTTGTTGTTTCTCACAGCTGTGAAGTTCTTGAACATGAGCAGTGTTGTTGCACAGAACTGATACTGTAGAATAGATGTTACATCTCATTAGTGTTGTGGAGAATTCATTAGGCCTCCTGAGGTCTCTGTGTGCACTTAATGTGACCCTGGAGAGAAACCTGACTGACATATAAGCCTCTGTAGTTACTTTTAGAACAGTGTAGCTAGTGAGCGATTCTTTTTTGGGACCTAGGCTTCTGTCTCCTGAATAAATCTGAGAGAAACTGTGTGAGTTTTAATGACAACGAAATATTGAATTTGAACCTAACGCTGACAGATCAGATCTTTCTGCTGCTGAATTTGACTTTGTTACCCTTTCTGAGTAAACCAAGGACTTGGTTTGCTGTTAGGATGCACCCACAGAAGAGAGAGATGAAATTATTTCAGGTGTTGACTTTGTGTCTTTGACAGAACACCTTGAACCTGAAGCAGTTAGAACTTTTGTGTGATGGTCCTCAGCACAATTTTCAGCGGATGTTTTGCAGCATAAACAAACATGTGTGTGACAGAGTGATCTTGCTCTGGGCGTGATCGCTCTGCATCACTGCTGCTGGCCGACAGGTCGTGGTTATGAGCATCACGGTGTTATTAACCACAATAGCACAAGAAGAAACCTGCTATTCTTCTGTTTCTCAGTATACAAAAACAAATTATCTTTGGGTATGAGCCAACACAGGGGCTCTGCTTGGGCAGAAAAGTACGTATTGTTTGTGAAAATTTTAACCATTACTCTTGAATATTTCCTTTGTGGTCAAACTTCACATAAGTTGTGACTATGTAATTTATTTTAAGTGTCCAAATGCTCTTTAACTTCAGTTTTATGAGCAACGTCCATGAGTGAAGACGTGCTACTGCTTTGTGCACATTTTGATGGTTGTGCTGCTTTTTGTCTTTGGTGCAGGAGAAATCAAACCAGAAATAAATGATTTCTCTGTGATGGTTGAAACCTTCAGGCAAACATTCATTTTTGGTTTTCTTTAAACTTTGCATGCCTGTGGTCGTCTGATGTCATATGTGACAAAACCTGAAAGTGTTCACTGTCACACATCCCACAGCTTCAAAATGACTAGCTGAAGATTAGTTGACTAGTGGTGTAGTGACTAACAAACGAAAGGTGTAGGGGAGCACTTCTGTATACCTCACGTATAAATCATATGTAGTGTGGTGCTGACTAGGATTATATATACTCATTTACAGATACTCCAATTTGAAGTTGTTGAACAATAGAGTACATGTTGCATCAGTCCTAAACACTTGTAAAAGATCAGTCTGTACACGGCTTTAAATACTTTACACAGAGTGATACAGGAACATACAGACAGTATAGAATAACTGGGAGTCATTAAAGCCCTCTTTGATTTATCAAGTATCTCCGTACTGCCTTGGAACTTTTTATTGTACACCTCAGGATGTAGTTCAGTCTATTTCAGTTTGGTTTTATTGGTTACAATAACATTGTGAACATTGTGACACTGCTAAAACAAGTCTGATGGCACAAGAAACATGAGCTCCCAGATTGTAGACAAACCATTTTTACCCCAAATCAAGACACGACTGGTCGTGTACATGACTAATGGGGTAGGATTTTTATTTTATTTTTTTTTTTAAATCTGCTACATATCGTTATGTTTATTTTTCTTTGAACTTCATCGTTATTCTTGTAAAATTCTGAATAGTTGTCAGGGTTTCCCCCAGGAAGCTGCTCAGTGGAGGTGTAAATGCCGCCTGAAATCTGTGAACTCTTGGACACCAACAGCAAAACAACACAAAGCCACAATGGCTCATTTGTTCAGTGTCTAACTTTACGCTAACTTCAACTCGATGCCGACCCTGTTGGCTTAAATGTCCAGCTGGTGATCGTAACCTCAGCCTGGTGTCTGACTGGCAGCGATAATTTGCTGCACTGCAAAAGTACAATGAGCTCAAGCAGCAAATCTGGAGGCATCTCACCCGTACATTAATTTAAATACTGTATGTGACCCCCGCTGTGTGAAGTGGTGCCTCTGACTTTTTTTTAGCAATGTCGCAGTGTTCTCAGATGTACAATATTGTCATAACCAATCAAATCTGTGTACAGACCTACTAAAGGTGGTAATAAACCAGTTTGTTTAGAAATTCTCTTTAACCCTTTGTGAGAAGGTTAAAGCCTGGAGCAAAACCGCCAGAGCATGTAGGGATTCAGGGTGTTGCTCAGGAGTACGTCAGTGGGGTAGAAGTTGATGCCACAATCTCTGCCCTGTGTGCTCTAGTCTACTGCAGTTCATCTCGTTTAAAAGCATGGTGGATGTGTGGGGACACCCCCTGTGTTAGAAACTGAAAGCCTCAGATTAGCTGACATCAATGTAAATTTGTATATTTTTCTCAAAAAGAAGTTCAAGGTTAACAAGCAGATTTCGACAAAATTTCACTTGTGATAAAAATGAAATCCTTGTATCAAAAGAAGAGCATTGTCTTTGCTTGGACCCTGCAGAGATAATGTTGCTGATTGGAGATAATTCTGGTATCGGATCTGCCAGATACAAACACAGGACGTTTTCCTAAAAGCAGATCAGAAGTGTTGATCTCATGCAGCCCGCAGTGTGTGTGTCCTGTTTTTTGTTGGGCAGTCGTGACATCAAACCGTTTTGAAAGTCAGGTCTTTAGGAAGACCGAGAAGAATCCCAGCTGATCATTTCAAGTCTCTGTACAGAAAAGTGTTTCTTGCACTGGGAGTTTGACCTTCAGCTCCTCTACATTTATACATACAACAGTGTGCAAGCTCATGGGAGACACGTGGTGCAGTAACATTTGCAAAAATATATCTTCAAATTTTTTTGCCTAACAGACGGTATAAATAGTAAATTATACATGGAAAATACATGGGGACTGAAAACATGGTCAAGGCTATGCAAACATAAAGTGCTAAGTTACTTAGATTATTTGTTAACCGGTTGCAAGCATAAAGGTAAATTCTGACAAACATGTTTCCTCCATTTGACATCAGTGCCCCGCCCTGCAGGGCATCATCAGAACTCTGCCAGGGTGATCCAAGCATACTTTCACATTCATATTCTCCGGCTTGTCAGTTGAAATGTGAGACGGAAATATTTAACACTTCCTTAAATGCCAAGGAAACGTACTTCATTGTTTTATAAATGTGAAGCAGTCATAATTCCTTCAGTCTTAACCTCTCAATAAATCAGAAGCTTCCAAATCTTTAAGTCTTCACTTGTATCCATAACCACTGTCCCATCTGTATGTCTCAGGTCATTTCAATAAGCCTTTTTCTTTTAATCAGATGACTGTCCTTGGCACTTACTGCACATGGCTACAAAATGTACTGTGGTACTGTATGTGTGTAAAATTTTTCAAGCAGGTGCACACAACTTAAAGCTAAGTGATGAAAATAGTCGAAACAGATGCCTCAGATCATTCACTGCTGAACACTGAAACTAACATTTTGACATGCAGAGTCCCCGAAGCCGCTGGCCCGCTCCTTGTACCTCGTCATCGGCTTACTTTGTTAAATCAATATACTACACTGTGAAGTGAGAAACAACACAGCACCTGAAACTGTCTGAAACCACACAAAGCGGCAACAACCAGAGCCAATGATTACACAGGCAGAGCTGTCTCAAGAACAATCAGTAAAGGACTCCACATGTGGACTAAATCCAAGATGCACCCGTGTTTAAGTAGAAATCAAACAGGCTCCTGAGCCGTTTCACACCCCTACCTGTTCTATACAGATGGCATGTGATACCCAAGTCTGACTTTCCATTTGGCCTGGTCTGCTGGTCTCTTACATAATCTATAAGAAGAAAGCACAGATGTGTGTGCGTGGGCTGGCTGCCATGGCAATCAGATCTTGCTGTTCTCCAGGTGGGAATCAATGTGCTTGATGAGGGCATCATCAGGATAGCCACTAGGGAATATCAGCTGGCAGAGAGGGCAGCTCCGCATGTCGCTCTCCTCTGTCTCCATCCAGAGCTGCAGAGCAACACACACACACACACACACAATTAGATGGCAGGATAAGTCAAGGTGGTGCTCGACTTACTCACTGGATCGTATCAGATGTTCTGTGGGAGGCTGCAACATGACATTGCTACTTGCACAACAGAGACCACTTGGTCTTGCCATGAAATGCAGTAGACTAGTAGTAAGTCCAGGTGGACACACTCTCATCCAAGTACTGATTCACTGTTTAATGCAGTTCAGTTTAGCTGAAAAAAAAAAAAACATAGAAAAATAAATAAATAAAAATAACTGGACTTGGTTTTAGGTCTGGCAAAGAAATTTTTTCAGCTTACTATGACTTGGATGACTGAGAATCTGCATGGACAGTTCAGTTTATAGAAAAGAAGATGAACTGGAGAATTACTTCCAGTAGTTTTGGGAATTGTGCTCCTTTGCTTTTTTTCTGAGTGACATGAGAAGATGAGTTTCATGTCTTCATCAGAGTCAGGCTCATTTAGCTGAGCTTAGTTTCATTCTTGCTGGTGCATAGCACTCATCTCTTGTCCTCTGGTAAGAGGAATAACAAACAAAAACATGAAAAAAGGAACTAATAACCAATGGCACTTCCTGAATGAATAAACAAATTCAAAATAACAGTAATAAATAGGTTCTATCAGTGCCCAGTGTGGTCTGGGCATTACTTCAGCCCCACCACCAACAGACAACACGCTCCACTCACTAATCCATCACCTTTATGTGGTCTAAAATGTTTATATTGCTATTAATAATGACACAGCACTGTTTCGGTGTCTTGACATTAAGCCTTGTAAAATCCTTTACAAGGTAGCTCATCATACCGGCTTTATAACGGTGACAACCCAACAACAGCGTTTGTTACCAGGCAAACTGACAGGAAAATGTTTTAGCTGGTACAAGAGGACAGCCGTGCACATGTTGGCAGGGTTAAGTGAATGTCTGTTTTCTGATCTGACGTCTTTATACAGCACAATACAACACAAATCAATGTTACAAAAAAGGGGTTTCCATTTCAACATATGCATATGACTTTTCTCATATTGCGTATTACTCCCCAGCACCTGCTAAAAAGTTACTGGGGTTCCCCTTTAAGTTTAGGGAACCATTTTCACATTTAAAAGAAACCAACATAGCTGGTAGGAAACAGGAAAGGAACAGTGGTCTCGAGTGTTAAATTCAAAGACCTATCTTTCTTCCCCGGCCTCCTCTCTCTGCAGACCCTGCGGCTCTACTGTACAATGACTTATTTTTCCTTTCCTACTGATGGGCAAATGGCCATAATTCCTATTGCTGTCATGTCTTTGTCACACAATTATGTTGTTATTAGGCATTTGCTGAAAGACTAGAAGCAGAGGGTTGGCATGTAACAACACTTTTAACACAGTTTTCTTTGCATTACATGATGTATCGTACTTGTTTAACCAGAGCATGAACGTAAGTGTAACAACCACAGTTTGTGATCTAGGGAAGAGTTGTGTGTTAGTTATTTATGGACAAACAACAGTTTATCCCTGCATCCAGTACTTATGTGCAGCTGCTCAGTCAGTTAACACAGGTTTGAGTTTGTGGTCTAGCAGCCTCACAGTGAAGAGGTCCAGGAAAAGTATTTCTAACAAACTTACTCCAAAACCAAAACTAGAAATGTTTAACCTGTTGAACAAAATGATAAATAAGAATAATGGGTTGTTAGCTACATACTTGTTGTTAGGCTTATATTTGAACTGTTTTACCCCTTTATGTCCAGCTAGGTTAAACACATCTTGGCTCCAATTAATGCACAGTCATAAGACTGATAACAAACTTCTCATCTCACTCTGAGAGCACATTTCTCAAAATGCTGAGCTATTCTTGAGACGGGGTGAAGACAGATATCTTGAGGTGATCGTGACTTGCAGTGTCAAAACGCGACAGTTCACGTTTGTCTGTGAACCAGCTCGGCGGCCGGCCGGCGGCGTCTGTGTAGTAACCGCACTTGTGAGAAAGTGACACTGGACGTTTTTAAATATATTTCACAGCTGCAACTCAAACATAGCTGTACTAACAATTAAACACAAGTGTACAGGTAATTAACCATTTAGTTAAACTCACATTGATTGACGGCCAGGACTGAGCATGCTCTGCTGACATGTACCCTGGGTGTGGGTGGCAGCTGAGGGTATTAGGCCTCTGAGGGATGGGAAAGGCCGAGCAGGACGCCGGGCCTCTCATGCCACTGCTGGGCACTGCAGCAGAAAGCATGCCCAGCGTCCGCGGTGGGCTGATGGGATGCGGGCAGGTCCACTCCTCCTCATCTTCAGAAGACTGTGGGGGCTGGGGTGCCGGTGTAGAAGGAGGAGGGGGCTCGAAATGAAGGTGGGCCACCTCAGACAGTGGGAATGGCATCTCTCGTGAGTGGCGCATTGAGCTCTCCCCGAGGCCTCCGTCTCCCCCCGCACCAGCTTGATGGGGAGATGCCGAGCCTCTGTGCTGCAGTCCACCGTGAGGAGAGCCCACATGTTGGGGCTGCTGTTTTGGGTAGGTGTCGACATAAGGCCGGGGCTTTGGCAGAGTGGAAACAGGGTCCAGTGAGAAGCGGGGTGGGCACTGGTAAGCCGAGGGGTCAGCAACCTCAGAGTAACTGCGACGGCCCTGGAAGCTGGCCCTCAGGTGCTGGGTGGGGGGCCTGCAGGAGTAAGAGGCTGGTCCGTTGTTGACATCCAGCAAGGGTGAGCGACGGTGCATGTCTGGGGAGAGGCGCTGCAGCACTGGGGAGCGTCTCTGCTGGATTGGGGAATGATGTGGAGGAGGCGGGACAGGAGAATGCCGCTGTGAAATGGGCGAGTGACGCGGAGATACTGGAGAGTGGCGCTGGTGCTGAATGGGAGAGTGACGCTGACCTGAGGGAACACAGAGGAAAATCAAAAATGTTTTGGGGGGTAAAAGCCTGACAAGTTGTTACTATGGCTGATTACAGTGCCTTGCGAAAGTATTCGGCCCCCTTGAACTTTGCGACCTTTTGCCACATTTCAGGCTTCAAACATAAAGATATAAAACTGTAATTTTTTGTGAAGAATCAACAACAAGTGGGACACAATCATGAAGTGGAACGAAATTTATTGGATATTTCAAACTTTTTTAACAAATAAAAAACTGAAAAATTGGGCGTGCAAAATTATTCAAATCCACATAAGGGATGACGGCAACATTCATAGATCCTGGAATGCACAATGAGGGGCAATGTTCATTCCTATTACAGAGGCCCACTGAAATTTTTTTGAGGAAAAGCTGTGTTAGACTGCATATTGTTTATAGTAAAGTATTTTTATATACAAATATAAAAATGAAAATGTTTCTGGAGTGGGACTTTAATTAATTATAGAAGTTGTGCAGAAGCTGCCCATAGCTCTACACAGTGATCCATGTGTGTACTGTATGTGTTTCTATGCTGCTCCAAATGAGTCTGTTCTGGTTCAACTTGTCTTATTAAATGAGCTTAAAAATAAAGTGACACCTTAGTTATAAAACACTGAGCAGGCTGTAACACACAAGAGTGTGT